AAATAAAAAGATGAAAGGGGGAAATACCAAAAACAGTGTCATAATTGCATTTGTATTTTATAATCTTTTAAACTGGAAAGCAGGCAGGATTAGCTGACAGAGGAAAACCCTGCATTAGTCTCCTGGATGCTGCTATCAGCCCAGGTATTCACACTTGTGTGTGAGTTGAGGGCACATGGAGATGGAGACACCTCAGACAACTCAGCTGGGTACTGCCTCGCTGAATCTAGACCCCGAGTTCCAGCACACCCTCCACTTTGGGCCAGTCAGCAAATACAAGTTATGATTGTTTTTCTGTTTTACTTAACTTTGCTAGAAGCAGTAGGTGAGAGGCTGAAAGTTAGAGATAGGACTGCTGCATCTCCAGTAGTTACTGTCCTGCAACTAAAAGGCATTGCCATGGGGAGAAAGATCTGAGCACTGCATCATAGTGGCTTTTTTATTTTTGTTTTTACTTTATTGCAATGTGTTTTTTTTGTTTGTTTGTTTTTGTTTTTCTTCCTGGTCCCTTCCACTCCTGGTATGAATGAGACCATCTGGAAGGGATCAGAACGAGCAGGCGAGTGAGAGAGAGAAATAGAAATTTCACATTTGAAAATTAATTGATGAACTTTTTTTACTGATTGATGATGATTATGTATTGATGAAACAAGTATTGATGCCACATTTTACCCCCCCAAAAATGAATCAACATCAGTAATTTTGACTAGAGACTGGTGATTATTCAGAACGTAGAGTTAGATCTTTGAAAAACATCTAGAAGGACTATTGCTTGCAAAGGATAGTGAGGTTAAGGTACTGTGCGCTAGGTTAATTCCTGGTTTTGCTGGTTGTGAAAAACATTTGAGGAGGACAGTGTCAAAGATTTCTTATTAAGCCAGTCAAACTAGAGAATTCAAAGGGACGGCATTATTCTAAATCATACGACATACTGTGGAAGACAATGCTACATCTGGAGTTAAACAGAAATATTCCAGATGTGAGAATGTGAGAAAATGGAAAAGACATAGATAAGATAGTGTTTGATCTTGCATATCTGTCAACAAAAATGAGTGACTTGGACACAGCTGATATTCTGAAAAATACTTAAAATTTATTTTAGATAATGTTGACTCTAGGAACAAGGTACATGGAAAAAGTAATGTATGTGTGTGTGTGCGTGTGTGTGTGTGTGTGTGTGTGTGTGTGAATATGTTTCAAGTATTTGATTTGTCAAATAATTCTTTATTTTCCCTTCCAGGTTAATAAACACCACAAGTGACATCAGCGATAAGATGTATTGTGGATATAAATATAATGACTATCTTTATTATACATCTTGTGTTGAAACCCGTTATTATTTTGTATGTGAGAAACTGGCTAATCCAGTGAAGATTGAGAATACATTGAGTGACTAACCAGATGGAACTATGTAGTTAGTGCTCTTATTTTGTTTCAGTTACTATCCTGCAATTAAAGACAACTTTATGCAACATACCTCTGTGGACCAGACAAGTGGAATAAAGATGCTGAGAGACTAACTTTCTCTCCTAATACTTCATATTTTTCCATTTCTTTTTTGTCCTGATCTCACGAGTAAAAGGAGATAATGAGGAAATATTTTAGCATCTAGAGACAGGCCTGATATAATGCTGAGTGTAAATACAGAATTTTGGCTGAAGGATATAGAAAACCAGACATCCCTGATGGTGTAAGGGATTAAGTCTCAGCACTATGAAGCTATCCACATCCACTGCATACAAGTTTGATCCCTGGCTAGGGAGCTGAACCACATGGCACAGCAGACCTCTCCTGTCTTGCCCACTGCTCCCCTCAGCAGTGTGTTTCAGTGGAGCTGCCTGTTCTGCTCCCCACGCTCTCTCTGGTAAACCCTCTCATTCCTCGTACCTCTGGCTTATGTTCCAGTTCTTTTATGCATAAATGAATAAATCTTAAAAAAAAAAAGAAAAACCAAAAACCAGCTACTTTGTCTTGCTTCTCCAAAAATAAATAAGGTAGGTAGCAACGTTATAGAAAAATCAAAGGAAATCTAAGACTATATTAATTTCATAATCTGATTTTCAGGGAACCAAGAATGGTTGACTAAATTTCAGAAAACCAAAGTGGAAAGATGATGATAATCTTGGAAAACAGTGCATTCATGAAACGTTTTCCTTATTTATCTCTAGATTTGCTGCAGTCCTTGAACATTTCAGGTAGACCTTTTTGCAAAGTGAACATGCTAATTCTAAAATTAACATAGTAATGTATAGGATCTAGAATGACCAAGACAATATTGAAACAGAGTATTTAAAGAAATTATTCTGAATATCAAGCCTCATTCTAAAGTCACAACAATAAGTCATTTTTTATTGTATACCAGGATAGATATACATACACAAGGTCAGTTCAAGGGTCCACAAAATAACTCATGGACATAAAGTTACCTTACTTATAAAAAAAATTTGTTACTGCCATTCCAGACAGAAAATAGTGGGCTTCTCAGTAAATGGATCTGAATCAATTGGATAGCTACATGGAAAACAATGAAACTTGATATCTGCCCTTTACCAAACATAAATATAAATTCAGAATGGGTCATAGAAATAAATATGAAATATAAAGTTTCTAGTATAAAACATAAGAGGGCATTTTTATGGCTTTACAGTAGACAAAGATTTAAGCAAGACTAAGTAAATAATAATAACGAGGTAAGGAAAATTAGACTTCATTAAAAACACAGTGAAATGTAAGTCATAGTATTGGAAAAGGTATGTGCTGGGTTTATATTAACATAATATACACATGTACATATTTATATAGGATTTATAGTCAAAATACAATTGACTTTCATAAATCAGGAAGAAAAACTAATAAACACCGGATAGAAATACTTAAGGGGAATTTCATAAAAAAATGATATTCAAATGACTTACAAGCAGATAAATGTTGTTAACATCATTACTCAACAGAAAAAAAATGCAAAATAAAAGTATAGTGAGAGACACCACACTCACCAGAATAACAAATATAAAAGATTGCTTATTCTAAGTACTGGCAGAATTGTGGGATGTACTCAATTTTATACTCAAATTAGCACCAAAATCCAAATACTTTGGTGCTAATACTCAAATTAGCACCAACATCCAAAGCCTGGAAATAGATTTCCCAGAATCCCTTCCTCCACTTAGGTCCAGAATTGCACAATGTGGTGACTGATGGAACTCCATGGAATTCAGCAGGAAGACAAAATTGAGGCCATGAGCATAAATCTCAAAAGTTGGCTGTGGTCAAACAGGCTGATCAGTCTCCTTGTCCACATCTAATTCATCTGGCTAACTTTCTATTCTGACAACCCTCAGCCTCCCTAAGTCTGTCAACAAATTTCTGTCCTACAGAGAAGCAGTTTTCAGAGAAATTCCTGAGTTGAAGTTACTTCGTGAAGAAATAATTTTTCACAGAGTCAACACTTTCACAAAGCAGCCATTTCCTATAGGTACTGGCTTCCACAAAAGTGTAGATTCTGGGCCCTCCCTGGTGGCGCAGCAGGTTAAAGCACAGCACTGAGAATCTAAAGCCGCCTCCGCATGAGTTCGATTCCCGCCTGCCCCGGAGGTGACCACATGGTGTGGCAGACCTCTCCTGGCTCGCCCGCTGCTCCCCTCAGCAGTGTACTTCATCCATCTGCCTGTTCTGTTCCCCACTCTGTCTCTGGTGAAGCCTCTCACCGCCCTGAGCCTCTGGTCTGTACCCCAGTTCTGTATGCACAAATAAATAAATCTTTAAAAAAAAAAAAAAAGTGTAGATTCTGGGCCCTCCTGGGTGGTGCAGCAGGTTAAAGTGCAGCCCTGAAATCTAGCTGCAGCACAGCGAGTTCAATTCTGTGAACCCGGGAGCAGACCTCTCCTGTCTTACCTGCTGCTCCCCTCAGCAGTGTATTTCAGTAGATCTGCCTGTTCTGTTCCCCACTCTGTCTGGTGAATCCTCTCACCGCCCCTGCACTTCTGGCCTGTACCCCCGTTCTGTTTACATAAACAAATATTTTTTTAAAAGGGTAGATTCCACAGCTTTCCCATAAAACTCCCTTTTTGGGACTCCCAGTATGGAAGCCAGACTATATAGTATGTGAAAATAACAAACCAAAGACACTAGGTCCTAATCTCTAGAACCTGCAATTGTTAACTTACAAGGAGAAAAGTCAGATGTGATTCATTGAAGCCTGGGAAGACTGTTCTGGATTCTTTGGGTAGACCCTAAATCTGATCACAAATGTCTGGTAAGAGAAGCAGAGGGGGATTGATGCAAGAGGAGAGGCGATGACGTGTCTGTGAAGGCAGAGATTGCAGTGATGTGGCCACAAGGCAAGGAAGGTTGGCAACTGACAAAAATTAGATGAGAAAAGGAGAGATTCTCTTCCAGAGCCCAGAATGGATTCTCTCCTAGAACCTTACCCTCGTAATATTACAGACTTTTGACCTCCAAAACTATAAAGGGATAAATTTATATCATGCAATTTTCTATGTCAGTGAGAAGAAATGAATACACAGATCTCCAAGATCTATGTTCTTTTCCTTTATACTTCCTCATTGACCACTTATTCCCCTTACAGTCATACTGGCTTTGTCTTTCTGAATGAAAACCATCTGTTTCAGTTGTTCATACAGGAAATGGTTTGGGGAACACGTTTCAGTCTAAAACTCTGGGATATGTTTTAAATGTCTAGATTTAAACATATCAATGATCCTGTGGCTAAACTATCATGTGATTTCTTAAATAAATTATCTAAAAAACCCATCAAATTCTATCATAATCTAGCTCTTCCAATTACAATGGAGTTTTATTTCACTCTAAAATATTTGATAATTTCTATCATGGATTAAACTGGTCATAAACTGGTTGATTTAACTATATTTTAGCAGGAGAGCATGCACACACATATGGTCATTGATGAAGGGATTCTGGTTGAGCATTTCAGTACAAAGAATCACCTGTGGTGAAACACACTTGTTGTCAGCGAGTACTCAGCTGCTGGGTCCAGAGGGTGACTGATTCTTACTCAGGTCAGATTTGGACTGAGCATTTGATATATTTCCTGCCTTGGTCCAATTTGGTAAAGGGTTTTGGGCCAGTATTTGAAAATAGAGTACATATTATGAAATTGAAAGAAAAAGAGGCCATGTAAGCAACTGAAACCACTGAAAAGCAAATGACTTATTTAAAGAAAATATTGACTCTTACAGAATCAATAACTAAAAGAGGTAGATATTAGAGTATTACATTAGTTAATCTTGTAGGATATTACTTGCATTGTTGATGTTCTCTAATATTGCAAGAGGAGGGATAGAATCTTCCATGAGTTCCTCTTTAAAATAAATTCCTTCTCCTTTTTGTCACGCAATCTTTTCTCCTGTTTTATTTCTATCCACAGCCATTGTCATGACATTATCTCACATAGCTTAACTATGAATGGACACATCAATATTAGTATATAAGTATATATTTGCAAATAAATGTGAGGTATGTAAAGCAAACTGCATGAAGGAAAGCATTTCTATTGTGTGGTCTAGAATGCAAAGCACATCATATGTAGAGGGGTATATAGAATTTCTGAATAAAGGAGTGAATGAATATATAAGCAGATATTCTTTAATTGTCAAATAATATATATATAAAAGTTAGGCAGACAGAAACCACAGATGAAAGCAAATGGACCGCAATTATGTCAATGTTGACAAGGTTTTTCATGGCTGAGTAGGATAGAATGAAAATCAGTATCTGTGAGAAGCAAACTGAGCCTTTGAAAAGTTAAAAGTTAATTTGCTACTCAAACTTTCAGGGAAAAAAATGGAGTTTTGAGAATACTGAGTGATACTTCCTCATGTCATTTTCTGGCAATTAAACCACACTTATGAGGAAAGGGAAAACACCTTTTGCAAATGACAGTTTCCTGGTGAGATTCTGTCATCCTTCCAATTTCATCAAGGGTTTGTATGAGAACATGGTTTTGATAAATATAGATAGATATTATCTTCCTAATAGAATGTAAAATACTCCTCCTATCTTTGGGTGGTTTTATTTTATTCCATTTGTTGCTAGACATACACACAATGCTTCTTGGTATAAAAAGAGACACAAAGCATTGACTGGACTTCTATTTAATTATCTGAATGGTCTAGAATTTCAATTCTAGGGGTAAATATTAAGCAATTTCCCTTTTGCTTAATATTTATCCCTTTTATTATCTTGCTTTTTCATAAATAACCTCTTAAAGAACAGGCAGTGAAGTACATCTTTGTCTGTTTTGTGTCAAGTCCAACCATGAGATAATAACTCAAAACAAATATATGCTGTGTTTTTTTCTTTTTAAGATTTTATTTATTTATGCATACAGAACTACAATACAGGCCAGAGGTGCAGGGACCATGTGAGAATTCACCAGAGACAGAACAAGCATATCTGTGAAGTGCACTGCTGAGGGAAGCAGCGGGCAGGTCAGGAGAGGTCTGCAGGGCCATGTGGGTCACCTCTGGGGCGGGGATCAAACTTGCACTGAAGCGGCTATGGCCAGCTTCACAGTGCTGTACTCCAACCTGCTGCACCACCAGGGAGGGCCCACAAATATGTTTTAAGACTTCATGGAAGTGTTATGTAGATTCATTCTTGGAAGGAGAAGTAGAACTAGAACAACATAGAAATTTAGATAAGGTAGTTAAAAGTGTTAAGTCAGCCCTCCGTGGTGGTGCAGTGGATTAAAGCCAGAACTGCAAGCTTGCCACAGCCACTTCAG